GGACCTGCTAATCTCTTGGGTAAATGCTTCACTTTTTATTCACAGATGCGAGCGTTGCCGTTTGGCCCAGTGCAGCATTTGCCTCTGTTCGTGTGTAAGCAAGAAATTAGACCGAGCACACACACACACACACATCAATACATCAAGATATCTAAAAGTGTATCTCGAAGATAAGAAATTATTGCTTTTATTTTAGGGTTTGCACCTGCAAATGTAAGTCGAAGGAAACTTCACACAAAAAAGTCCCTCGATGCGCTTAACTCAACGATTTTCGATCTGCTCTGAGCTTTGGTTAAACTGTCTTTCAGTGTACATATTTCGTATAACCATATCTATACGTACATATGCATACATAGATCAATCTCACAGTAAGAGATACCGAAACCTTTTGCACTCCCCAGGTGTAGTTCTTTGTGTGCGCTGAAGATATGCTCTGCTATCTGTGTTTGCTTGTGTATTTTGTATGTTTCTCTTTGCGCACAAAATTCTCACGTCTGTCAAATAAAGTAAACGCAACCGAAAACGACAAATGATGATCATCATCATCATCATGGTGATAATAAGCAAGAAGAAGTGAACGAAGATGCAACAAAAAGCAGTAGAAAGAAGAAACAGAAGAAAGAGGAAGCCCCAAGACACAGCTTCGCCGCAGTTCGCATTTACATTTACCAAAGAAATCAGGCCAGCCACGCGCATACAAATCATTTACCCGAGATTCAAGCTCTCACTTGCATTCGGAAACAGCTATCGTGTAAGTGATGCAAGTGAAGCGAGCGCGTCCAATGTTTATTGCATGGGAAATGTTTGCTTGTTACATTTTACCATTACCGAAACCAAATCCGAAACCGAAACCGAAACGAAAGTGATATGCAAATGTTGACAGTGGCAGGCATAGTTTTTATGGAGAGCACGAGACCATCATCATCATCATCATCATCAACCAAGTCCACATCATAATAGGCGATGTTAACAGACTTCTGCTGAGGTGCTGCGTGTTTGCCCTCCCTCCATGCAGATCAAATCTAGTCCATGGATGGCTAAACATGGAGCTGCACTTAAAGCCAAATAAGTTGGTCATTTGCTCTATAATAGGTTAAGTAAATTAAATTTAGAATAGACAAATTAGAGGAGCCCCAGCTGCATGACATTTATCTAGGTATGTACATACGTTGAAAAGATTTTTAGCTCGTGCTAAGTATTCAACATGGAAAATGTGTATTTATTCTACACATTTGGTTCTTTGTTTAGTTTTTAGGTTCTTCTGTGGGGTATATGGAATATTGTGCATTAGATTTCGTAAGCTTCAAGGAAAGTTGACTGAAGCTTTCTGGAGTGTACTGATTTGTGTGTCCCAGGGTATGCCCTGTGTCTATCACCAGTGCGCCCCCACATTCATCACTCTGCTTCGCTTTTGTATTGCTTTATTTCGCTTTGCTTCCTGGTTACACTTATTTTTAGTCGGCGTCGTCTGCTGCGCGTCCGAGTGATTCCATCAAAATCGCATAAATCCAAAACAAAACGTTTTAGTCGCCAGCCGTTCGTTCTCCTTCCAACCTTCCACCCTCCCCGCCACCAACTAGTGCCGTGGCCTGGCCTGTCCTGTCTCTTTTCAAAAATAGTTTATGTACGAATTTTTGATTTGATGCCAAAATGTCGCAGAATAAATATGTTTTAAAACACAGAGAGAAATCTTTGGCTGCTATGCGAAATGTAGCCCCATACTTTGCACCATCTCCCTTCTGGACACATCCATGTAAACCTGTGACATCCGCCTACATCCAAAATTGTCTGCCTTCCCTTCCCACTCCTTAGTTATTTTTGATCGGATTTCAAACATTTATCGATATTTAACATTGGGCCGCAAATTTCCTTTCTCCCTTTTAGGCATTTTCATTGTTTTATTTCTGGCAGAAATTCTATTTGCTCGTAAATTAGTCTTAAAGACAGACATCGACGCATGTGAAGCACATTTGTAGCATTTTTTTGTGGCCAATCAGCCAAAAGCCAGTCGTCGTTGTCAAGTGGTCAATTTTGAACAGAACAAAAAATAACTAAAGCCCCAGCACTGGACTTCAAATCGGCCATAGGCGACAGCAGACATCAGCTATGATGGACCAGCAAAACCCAATAGTTATAGTTACATAAATAAGGGAACAATAAATGCTTCAAGATTTTCAAATGTTTATTTTTTAGATAGACATTCGAAATCATAAAAGCCTCACCTTTGCCCGTGTAGGGCATTCCGTGGGTACTTAAGACAAAAGAATCTAAAGAAGAGCCAACAAAAAAAAATAAAACAAAATTATTTCACGACTCTTGGACGCTGTAATAATTTGTATTTTTCATTTTATTTTCTAATTCTGGCAACAGTTGGATAACAGATTCGAGCAGACATTTACTATTTTGAGTTCATGCTAATTTTGTTATCTTTGACATTTGTGGCGCTTTATCTGGCTTTTGGCCTTCTGTTGAAAGGATGGCAGGGGGGGCTCTACACCATATTTATTTGAATTGGTTTTTGTTTTGTTTATAAATAGAGTTCCTCCAATTTGAGTTGACTTTTATTCCTGTATGTACAAATTGGAGTCTTAATTCATCTATGATTCACTTTTCCCCCATGTAGGTACCACATACCGATGGCCAGCATTAGCTGGGCATGTGCCATGAACATTTTCCATCAAATTGAAAACCAGTTTCCCCTTGGAGTTTGGGCGACTTTACAACCATACGAAGGCTTTCAATAATGTATTTATGATATACGAACGATATAAAATCTAAAGAGTTTTCCATCTCCATCTCCCTCTCTCGACTGCTCATTGTTGGAGTTGCTTTTGTTTTTATGCGAATGTCGTATTGATTTTATGACCCTCTCCGCTTGAACTCTGAGGCAACTGCGTAGAAGTGGCGGCCACACACGAGAAATTCAAATTCAAATCCAGAAAAACGAAATGTTCAAATTATTTTGCAATGCCAACGAATATTTTGTTTGTGTCGTGTAAGGTGACATTTCCTGCGCCTCCAACAGAAATGGCCTTCGAAGCATTTTCTCTCGGTCAGCCATTGACTGACTGACTTGACTACCTAGTGATCTGGGTGGGGGGGTTGGGCTGTCTTGGCCAGGAGTGTGTGTGTGTGGTCTACGGTGCAGTTGGGACATTCAGAGAAAAATGCTGACACTGCTTTGATTTTGTTATTTTGCTGGCCTGTAGCCATGAAATTCGCCAAAAATGCACAAAAAATCATCGAACTTCAGCGAAATTCAATTTCTCACAACAGTTGAAAATTCGAAATGATTGGAAGATGATATGGAAAAGGCACAAAAAGAACCAAAAACTGTCAGTAATATATGCAAATACTTGAGTTTTATGCTTAAGCAACAATTCTTTCAGGTTTTTAACAATGAATAAAGTAAATTATTTTATTTTATTTTATGTTACATGAATACTTTCCCATATACAAATCTTTCCATGCCCCCCCCACACACAAAATAGTTTCCAGTGTTTCCCTTTTTTCTTTCAATTTCCCCTTCGAACTGTAATATCAGCACTTATGTACATACATAAAAACATTCAATATGCATATACCTAAGAGTATGTTTTGTTATGCACTTGAAACCGACCAAAATTAATGAAAAAAAGAAAAAAAAAAAACCTTACGTTTTGAATTTCCTTAAGGCAAAAATGTATAATTTCGCTTTTGCAGCTAGCCCAGAGGGAGAACTGCGTTCTCAAGAAGTAAATTTGAGTACCCAGGAATGTCTGACTGTATGCATTTATTTGATTTATTGTTTGCTTCGTTTTGTAATATTATTTGTTGAAGATCAGTTGACGGAACGACGTAGCGGAAGGGCTCATATTTTGCACGCGCCAAATTTCACTTCATTTATTTTTGCACTTGTTTTCTTTATTTACATAAATATGAGAATAAAGTGATTGCGGAAAGTTTCCTGTACGATTACCCAACCAAAGGAATTCTTTCATATCAGCGTACAGTTGTGAAACTTGATTTTTGTGGGAAAGCCTTGTAATATCACTTCAAAAATGTTTAAGTGGGACCACCGGATGCAGCTCAGTGTTTGGCCTTTTATGTGTTTAATTACATTTTTAATTTTTTCTTCTTATTATATTTATTTTATATTTTCTTAATACGTAATTGGCATATTTCTTGCATAATTTATTTGTTTAGATCTGTTTTAAATCTAAATATTTGTACATAAATACACAAGTGTGTGCATACCCAGACTTAAAATCATTTATAGGGTATCCACCAGTCGCTTACCGATGCGAATCCGCGAAGACGCATAGCGTCTCTTTTTGTTTGATTTCATTTTATCTCACTTGATACAAAGGAAAAGCAAAACAAAAGCAAAGCAAGAACAAAACGGAATAAAAGTTTGCGGTTGAGTTTCTATTTTCCCACGCGCTTTGGGTGTGAGTAGGAGAAGGAGAGCTCGAAAGCTTCTCCACACACACACACACACAGACACGCGTGACGACACGCCATCAGCCAACAGTTGCCGATGTGTGAAGGGGGTGGGTGTGTGGGGTAGGGTAACCCTAGAGCGCGATGATCACCCACTTGTCGGCAATAATTGTCTCCTCCTGCATGCCCTGCATGACACGACAGGCACGAGCAGCGAGCAAAAAGGCAACCAAAACTCACACCCGGAAGGCAGCCAATGGGGGGGGGGTTACGATCCGGTCTGGTTTTGGTTTGATTATTTGGACATTTCCATATGTACACTTGTCATTGGCTTGCTGTAGAGCTGCGAACCGGAATGGACCACCAAGCAACAAGCCAAGCAAATCCGACCTGAGCCCAGACACACTTTGTATTGTCCGTGCCGTGCCAATTGATCAATACGGCGGCTGGCTGGTTGCTGCTTAACCATTCGAATGCGTAAACTGTTCACTGGCACTGTGCTTCGAGGGGCGGCAATAATAATGAGCCCAAGAACACAAATGTCTTCGTGGTTTTCTGAGAATCTCTTTTCTAGTTTTTATTTACAGCTCGAAATGATCCCAATCATCGATGTCGCTGTCAAACATATCCTCACTGTCGTCAGAGTCTTTTCTTCTCTTGCGATTTGGGTCATCGTACACCCGGCATGTCTGCAGACATTCATCCTTTGTGTAGAATCGATTTGGATTGCCGCCACAGCCGCCATAATAGTAGAAAATGCAGCGATTTGTCAAGTAGTCAAAGCCCCAGACTTTGACCCATTCCTTGCAGGGACCAGGATCCACCAGGTATATGCATTTGGCTGTGATTGTACTAAACGCTTGTAAGTTATAGCAAAACATACGTATGCAAATCTCTTTAGGTAATCACTTGAACTTACGTTGTCGCACCGTGAAACCTTGGGGCACAAGTGCCGACAGCGGAGCCACAAGGAGCTGTCCAATTGTTAAAAATAAATACATTGCCCTTATTAAGATATTATATTTTGTCATATATATTTTTGATTGACACTTTCGTTGAAGTAAGACTCAATGCTAGGCTGAGTGGAAGCCTCAATGAATCCCAGTTCCTCTTCTGCAAGTTGCTTCCATTTTCCCCCATGGTTTTCTTACCTTTTACCATTGCTTTCGTACCACTGTACATGCGTTGGTACACGGTACGCGCTCGACGGACGAGGTTCAGGGTCAACGTTGTAATATCTTAATTTATTTTGCCCAGCACGTTCTCCACTTTTTGCTCTCTCTCTCTCTCGAAGTTCTAATTTGATATCCTCGATCCTTCGTCTATTTGTTATTTGCTTTTATTTATTATTATTTATTATCTTCTACTCCTCTGTGCCTGTGCCCCACGAATGGGTCATGGGAAACCAATGAGTCCTACTCCTCCTCTTCGCTTCTTTTGGTTCATTATGTTGAAACTTTGTTTCGGGCTTTTGTTTCAGTTCGATTGTTCATTAATCATTCGCCGCACATTGAGTGGTTAGCCCTCTTCGCGATTCCCAGCTCCCTTTTGGGGCTTTTGTTCCTCCAATTTGCCTAATTAACTTCTAAACGTCGCCTTTGGCTTCTCTTTGGCAACATTTTGCACTCTTTCACTCATCTCAGCCTGCTCCCCGTTCTCCCCCTCTTCTGGCTTTCATCTCATGCGAAATTCTTCTTTTTCGACTAATTAGCAGTTTCGTTTTTTGCTCTTTTATCTTTGTAAACTTTGTCTGCCTCTGCCATGGCCAGGAATCACTTATTCACTGATCGAGTCATACTTATGTACAAATGTATGTATTTATGTAATTATGTATGTAGCCACACAAAGCCTTAATAAATGGTGAAATTATAGCCCTTACGCACCCGCTTTGACCTTGGCAACATTTATGAGTTTGCTCTGCCTTGTGTAGGCTTTTGCTTTTCTTCATTCTTATAAAAGTATTAGGAAAATAATTAAACGATTTGATAGTGCGAAAAAAAAAATGCTCAAGGTTGACAGAAAACAAAGAAAACAACAACAACAACAACAACAACAACAAAAAGAGATTTCAAATGCGAAAATACAAAAAAAGAAATCTTACTTTATACACTGCGAGATTAACGACGCATTTTTGCAGAATCGCGCGATACAGACCTTGATTGATAACTAAAATATACACAATGTACATATGTACATACATACATTTAGTATACATAGTATTTATGTATATTTAGTGATAGTTGTGCTATGGCAACTAGCCGTTCGGCCAGTGAAAAGAAAGGCCTTCAAAGCAGCAAAATGAACAAAAAAGTAAAAGAAAACGAAACAGTTTTTGAAAAGTGATAGTAAATTAGCTTGGTTTAGCTTGAATTATACTACGACACTTGAGTGTATGACAATTGATAAGATTCCGTGGCTCAGATATAGATATTGCGTGCCGCCACCCCCACCCACCACATACACCACACACACACACACACATTCATGAGACATTCAGATAGAGGCTGACTAGCGCTCCACGCACACGTTTCGATATGGTTGAAATTCCTGGAGGGTTGGGCACTGCCACTGCCGCTGTCGTTGTCGTTGTGGGGGGAACTTAATTAGCGACATTCTGAATAAGAGATGAGTGCCGGACGCTTTGATTAACGCCAGGCAGCGGGGGGAATCACACACAGCAGAGAGTGTGCCTAGACCTAGACCCTTAAGCAGCCGCCCAGCTGATATGAAAAGTAACTAACTAACTAAACTTTTCTTTGGTGAAAAGAACTTCCTCTCTCTCTCTCTCTGTGTCTCTCTCTATGCTCTAGACAGTGACAGTGGAGACAGTGGGGTACAGGGAAGAGAGACCCCAGGTGGGCTAAAATTAACGTAGCCCAAAAACAGTTCACGTTTCCCCACTCCTGCCTGACGGATGTTGCTGTTGCTGTTGTCGCTGTCGTTGCCAGTGCAGCTTCTAAATCTGTTTGGGACAAAATGTGTCTAAGGCTGACCAAAAATATCCATCAGTTGCATGCGTATCTGTGTCTCTGTGTGTATCTTTGGCCCGGTCTTGTGCAGTTTGAGGATTTTGCCGAACGCATTGCGGCTGATATTTTTGTTGTCTGCCAGCGGCAAAAGGTCACGCTCTTGGCTGATAGAGATAGACAGAGAGAGAGAGAGAGGCAAAGACAAGAGTGTGGCAGACGGACAAACGGACAGACGGACAAACGGACAGCCAGAAAGTTCTGAGTGACAGAAAGCAAACAGAGGAGAGCCGAAATGGAAAGCAAAATTCTGTTATCCAAAAATAAACAAGAAAATTATCTGTGCACACACACACACACACACACACACACACACAAAATAGCGCAAGGAGGGAAATATTAGTTTTGAGAGGGAAGAAAAAATGAAGAGCAAGATTTTCCCCGCTTATCGTGCGTGTATTTAATGATTTTCCCTCAACGATAACCTCAAGTGCAACATTGACGAGACGCGTCGGAGGTCCCAGCGTGCTCTGGGCTGGCAGGTAGGGAGGAGTTCCTCCTCCCCCAACCGTTTTCCATTTTCCCGATCTCTGATGCCGGCCGCCCTGGGGTCGTTTTTGAGTACACGGGATACCCTGCCACAGGGCATACTCGCCCTTGGATCAGAGCTAAGACCTTTTCATTCATGGATTAGCCAATCGCTGGGTACGTTTGTGGTCGCAACGAACTCGTCCTTTGTGTGTGTTTTTTCTTCTTTTGTTTTCATTTCTGGTGTCTTTTTGGTGTTGATTGTTTTTCCCCCGTGGCTGGCATCTTTTGGCTGCTCCAAACTCATCATTCGCTGTCGAGTGGGTCCTTTGCCCTCTTGCCACTTGTGTGCGCCACTCCTCAAGCACTTTTCCGCGGCTCACAAGTGCACAAGTGCACCACTGACGCGACTGCCACACACACAAGCCAGTGCATCATCAGGGAGGGTTGGGGCATAGACCCCGAGTGGGGTCCCCAGGAAATCCCCCGTACAAGCGTTTTTCATTTAGTGGCTGATCAGAGCGGGCAGCCGGCAGACAGTCTAGTTGGTAGGGAACATGATAGGGAATATAGAAAGTAGAAAGTTTTTTTTGCAAAATACTAAAAAAATAATCAAGATTTTTTCATGCGACTCCGTAACCCCCGTACCCCCCGTACCCCCCGTACCCCTCGCACCCCGACATTCAGCAGACAAATTGGAGCTGCGCAGCTTCCAGCTCGAATACCAATTCCGATTTCAATTCCAATGCCAATTCAGAGTTACATTAACCTGACCTTGAACCCGGCCTGACCTTGACACCGCTCCATCCCCAACCTGTTGGGACGCATGTAATGGCCTCGGGGCCTCGGGGCCTCGGGAGGATGCAGCCATACCACCGGGAAGGAAGGAGGCCATTGGGCATGACCTTCAAAAGATGTGGGAGAAGCAGCAGGAGCTGCAGATAGGAGCCGGGAGCTGTACAGGTCCTTGATTGCGCAGGACGAACGACGCATGAACCACATGAAGCAGAAGGAGACGCGTCAAGCACTTGGATGTGGAAGTGGAAGTGGAAGTGTCTGTCTGGCCCATTCTCATCTCCCTTCCTGCATGAGGAGTGGCAACAACACCAACGAGCCCCCACGATTGCGGTTGAATGTCCCTTTGGTTGTCTGGCAAGTTTGCTTGCGAGATTTCATTATCGTTTTGAAGGTCGCAGTGCACACACTCCCGACATGCCCACCCACATTTGTGGGTGGAAAATTGTGCCAAGCAGAATGAAAAATGTACGACAAAAAGGAAGGCATAAAGGATGTACAGCACCGCTTAAAACATTGACTGCTTTTAAGGATTTCATTTAAAAATCAAATCAAAACTATATGAGGAAAATGGAGAGCCCACCCAAGGTGCGGCTAGCTTGAGGGGAGTTATTTGCATATTATGTACAGAATAAAGTCGAGTATGTAGGTACATTTGATGTATGCATACATATGTATAGATACATTTTCTGAAAAGGTTATTGAAAGAGGAGAAATATATTTAAAAAGGACAGAGGGAAAAATGAAAATCGTCAAATTTATAAAAAGGCTAGGCTTCAAGTGATTCATTCAAGATTAAATTCTGACAAAACTCTTAACACTACAATATTACAGAATGGCTTGAAACATTAGGTCGCTCTCTAGTGAAGACAGCAGAATGATGCGCAACATTTGTTGCCAGCGAGAGCAAAAACACTCAAATAAAGGAACCCACTCAAATATAACACTCGCTCTCTCTGACGCGCTTCTGCTGTCTGTCGTCGCTGCTGCGGCACCACGGCGCCAGAATTTGTGAGGCTATACATACATACATACATACATACATGTGTATGCATATGCATATGTACGTACCATGTTTTTGTTGCTTTTTTTATTACAGACATGTGTGTATGTTAATATGTATGTACCAACTATTCTTTTGTATATTTGCGAAATTATTCAACTTTAGCCCGAGGTTTTGGTGTGTGTTCGGTCTATAATTAGTTAATCACATACATATACGATTTCAATCGTTGCTGAAATACCGGCCAACCGGTAGAAACACTGAAACAAAACGCAATTCAGTAAAAATGGGAGAACACGACAGAAGCCGGCAACGCTTCAGGTGTGTGCGCCAAACAGAGACGGAGCAGAAAGCTTTTGCCGCTGCGCTGCTTTTATTTCTCTCTGTCGCTCGATCTCTCTCTCTCTCTCAGTTGGCGCTCTGCCGCGTTCTTCGTTTTGTTTTGAGTGCGTTTTCATGCACGCCAATGAAAGCAAAAAAAAAGCAAAATACATAAAGAACAGCAAGAATAGTGAGCGTTTGCTTTGCTTCCATATGTATGTATGTGTATGCAGGTTCATTCCGTTATAAAGCCACACACTGCAGCTGGTTTCTCTGGGTGTGTGTGCTTGATTTTCGCGCGAAACTGTACCGCCTGTGTTTTCGTTGTCTTGTCTTTTGTCCTTCCCATTCCCATATCGCTACCCCACACTCTTGTTGCTCACTTATCATCTTCTCTCTGCGCGCTTTCCTTGTTTGAAATTCTGTTGTTATGGTTTTAGCGGGTTTCTAACTCCTTCTGCGTATCGCAATCCTATATTGTTTTACATTTGCAATTGAATGTCTCTTTGGCCCAGCTAAGGTTAAACATTGAGCCATCGGTACAAGAGGGACCCCAAAGAAGGGGTTAACACGTGAGTCCTATAATTACCGGTATGAATCAGTGTGCTGCCAAAATACTTGAGCCGCTTAAAATAATTTATTATTGAGGGTTTTCGCAACGTTATCGCCTGATAGGACAGAGGACGGCGCCCGAAGCTTCACCACAAGGTGGCGCCAGACATAACGCTGCTCTTAATGGCTGACTATAATGTCGACGTACAAATACTCTGTATTAAGCAGCACGATTAAAAACAAAGTACGAAAGTGTATGTACTAGAGCGGTCTTGACTATCATATTACTCAGGGGAAAGCCATCAGGAAACCCCTTCGCCGGGTGCGCCAAGTGCGAAACGTGTGGGACGATAGCAACAATGTTGCACAAGGCTGATGCGCAAAATGCAATTTACAGCTCCCACCGCCTTATCAGTGTGCGACAGTTTCGGGCCTAAAAAGCATAACTCAGGCCCGTTACAATATTGTGGGATTTGAATTGCATTTATTGCAGCACACTTGCCATTGGCAGCGGCAGCGCCAGCCCTCTTATCAGCTTGCGATTGGTACAATGTTACTGCACGTGTACCCTCTTAAATAGTATCAAGTGAGCATTGTGCTGAGTGGTGGTGTAGGGAATACGGCTGGAATGGACAAGGGTAAGCGTTAACCCGTTACGTAGGGCAAGGCGCCGTCAACAGCCATCGCTGTTGGGTTTTTGTGTATTTGTTTTGAAAGCTCAGCAAATTCTTGGCATGCGACGCTGAGAGAGCTGCAGGCGTCAACACTTGTTGCCGCTATTTACGCAGTTGGTTGCTTTCTCTCTCTGCCATCCCCACCTTCTCCTCGCATATCACAGAAACACGCGCAAAAATGAATTGAAAAAAATCAAATGGCAACAATATTGCGAAACTTATTGCAATAAAAGTCTAGCAGTAAAACTGCAACAACAGCAACCAAGAAAGAAAATGCAACGTAGGCAGAAAAGCTAAAGCGTAAAATGCGCGGCAAGTTCAGAATGTAATACTGCCTGCCTCTCTCTCTCCTCACGATTCGTTGTTAAACCAAAACAAACCGGCAGAGAAAGTCGAAGTTAAGTTCGGTGGCCGAACCTTTGATGCCCTTTAAGTTCATCGTCAAGCGTTATTTATTATGTATTATGATATTGTGTGTTCCAATTTTGGATGTTAACATTTTTATATTACTTTAGTTCCCTGCGTTGCAAATCCCTGCTTTAAATTATGATACCTCTAGTAAAGGATCATTCCCACATATGTATGTATGCCAGAGTGTGTGTATGTAAGTTCATCAAAATACAAACAGTGCTCGAGAAAGGGAAAGACAGGTAGCGAGAGTGTGAGTGAGAGAAGGGCCAAGGCCTGCACGCGCTAAAATGTACATTGGGCGAGGGGTGTGTGCGGCAGCTCGAAAGCGATGCACGCTGAACTGTAAATCAAAGCGAAGCAACGCAAAGCGCAGCGAAATGCGGATGGGGGAATGGCGGAAACGCTTGTGTGCTCCATCGTTCAGGAGTGCATTTTTGCTCTACTTGAGCGAAAACCACCTGATCATGCGGTGGCAGGATCGGGGGTTCTCAACGCACCCTTTATGGATTTTTTTTAGTGAAACGTTATAAAATAAACAAGTTTTCGCACTCGGCCACTACTCCACACACCACGTCCTTTTGAACCCCCACACACTAACACCAATATCTGATTATTTGCCTTTTTCCCCCTTTCTTTTGGTATAATTTAATTAAACTTGAGGTAGGTTTTTTTGTGTTGGCAGATCTGATGGAGGGAAGGAATCAATACACTGCCTGACATGGCAGAGTGATAGTGCCAGTGATGCAGTAAGAGGTGACATTTGAACATTGAAAGGTTAAAGGCAAACACTCACACTAGCTGGTGCATTTACCTAATTGTATTAGAGCTCATCTTCCCTTTTGCATTTGCCACTACTCACTACCCACTGCTCGTTTCGCTCTTCTTTTCCCATTGCCCACTCACATTGCCAAAAGCAAAACAAAACGAGTGAATTTACAGCTATGTAGTTCCGAGCATTCACAGCTCGCGTACCGGCATGTATGCCGGCAAAGCGCTGTCTCGCTCTCACTTGCATTCTCTCATGTGGATTGCTTTGTAGATAATCTGCCCACAGTTGCATTGCTTGCGAGTGTGTGTTCGTGTGCCGACTGTAAATAAACAGAGAGCGGTAAGTGGTATGCATTGCCGTCTCTTATGAAATTGCCGAAAGTTCGAGAGAATTACGGCGATATTTGTAATTGCAAGAGCTTTCAGAATTTCATTAAAAGCGAAACTGCGCAGCAAGCAATATGTGTCCAAAAGACCACTCAAAAAACCAACTGCGCTCAACAGTATTGATTGCCCGTTGGCAACATCCACTTTGTATGGGATGTGAGCCAGCAACATTTGCGGTGGAATGAGCAGCACCCTGGGCAAGGGATATGATGAAACCTTTTTCATCACAGGCCCTCATGAATGCAGAGAGGCAAGCTTTAAAGTCTTAAATTCTGTTGATATGAATATGCAGGAACCTAATCATATATATGAATAAGTCCAGAAATCTAAATCTGTGCAAAATAGTTAATTTATTTGAAGAAGATTTGAAAACAGATATATAACATTGATTCCAGGAAATAGGGTATAAAAGCGTTCATCCTCATAGCTGCAACTGGTTCACCAGCAACATTGAGGCTTCACTCAATACGCACTTACATTTTACGTCGTCACATTTTTTGTTATTCTTAATTTTTGAGCAATCCAAAGAAACGGAGTCATGAAAATTCCCCAATCTTGTGGAGAATTTAATGAGGTCTAGAGTAAAATTAAAGTTTTAAAGCTGAAAGTCCTAACTACCCGGTAATGTTGAACAGAAGATCAAAGTCGAGGAAAATGATTCTAGATTGACGGTATATTTTGAAAATGAAAAAGTATTTTCGGTATATTTCCGACCGCCTGTCGGTATATCTTATCGATAACTCGCGGCCGCACTGGGCTCTTAACCAAATTTCAACGCGCCTTCGTCGAGTTTGAACGTGCGACGCGGTACTTGGTTCTTCTCTTCGTCTTTGTGGATTTTGGCTGTTTCCCGCCCAGAAAATATTAAGCATAGAATCATTAAGTTTCCCGCAGCTCGCATAAAACCGCCAATTGAAACACACACAACACACAAAATAGCAACAGAAAATGCCGAGTAAAACAAACACAATAACAATAGTGCAAATATATTCAAATAATATATATTGAGTCCCGAGACGTCTCGAATCGGAAATCGGTCTTGGAGAATATTCCAATACGTGAGAAAACCGGGCAAAAACTTTCAGTTTCGTTTTCTTCTTTCATTGCTGCCGCAACCGGCAAAAGAGAGGGAAGTGTTTCGTTAGCTGTCCGAGCGCCAGTCGAGCACGAGCATATCGAAAAGGAAGGAGTAGTATAACGGAATAGAAGAAGTACGAGGAGGTGCTAGCGTACCGTTATTTCACTTATTTCGCGATTTTTTTTGTGAATTGCCGCCAGACGGTAGTGCAGAACCGCAGAAACAACCAGAACAAATCACCAAGCAAATACAAAATAGAAAATCCACAAGCGTGAATTTTCGAGTGAAACACAATTTACCAAAATATATTCAAATCGAAAAGCTTTAGCGAGAAAAATCCTCGAAACATCTTTACGGCAAAGCGCGCGTAATAGAAGGAGGAGACAATTTTTTTTGGTGTCCCTTTTTGTTGGTGTTTTCTCCCAGACGATCACTTGAATTGAGAGAGAGAGAGATAAAAGAAAACAGTTGGAAGTTCTAACAAATTGGATTAAATTAATTTCTGACGAACTGGCAATATCCACGTCGATATTCCAGAAATAACGGATTCCACTTGGAAAACAAACGCAAAAGGTGAGTTGAAACAAACCTGAAATAATTGGAAAATAAAAGCGGGAATTTAGGAACGATATGAGTGAGTGTAGATTGCCGACATGACAGTGGAATGAGGTATGGAGTAGAGTGCAAAGTAGTGTTTTGCATTATTTTTCTATTGTTGCTGTACTTCGCACCCACACACATGTATGCAAAGATCGGAATTCAAAATGCAAAGAGCAGACAAACGAAGGAGTGTCATCTCCCTCTAACATGCACAAGTCCTACACGATCAGTTTCTCTTCTTTCCGTTAGCTTTCGGAAATGCAAAGAAAGGAAGAATTGAATGAAGAGTGGGGTGGAAAAGAGTGGCAAAGAGGGAGCGATTTTTGTTGTTGTTGTTTCATCTGTTGTATTATGAAAATGATACCTAAACTTTTAAATGACAAATGAAAGACAATTGAAGAGAAGTAAGACATTAAGGAGGGATCACATTTACAGTTACTTCGTTTATGTATGGGATTTTTTGCAACTGTTTAGTATGAAGAGAAAAAGTAGGAAGGACAGAGAAAAATGATCAGCTTATGGCGGTATTGTGATTGAGTGAATAATAATAATAATAAATAAAATAAATAATATATCTCAAGGGAAAAATTACTAACGCCAAATCTTCGTTTCTATCTGTTTTCCCTCCTCATCTTGTGCAGTCAAATCCGCAAAGATGGCACTCCAGTTATTTGACTATATGAACAGCTTCAGTCTGGCGAATATAGAAGAGGACCTGATTTTTAATAGTCCCCAATTCATGATCGACGATCTCTTCGAAGGCGTGGTCTCCAGCAGCATCCAGAGCGACCTGGCAAAGATCGAGTCGCGCGAGGGGATCGATTACTTTGACGATATGGAGGACATAAAGCCGGAAATCCGCAACGGAGACTGCATGTGGTCTGCCTCCTCCAGTTGCCAAGGCGGCGGCAGCGCCGCTCAAAACAACAGCGCCGCCTCCAGCTACAGCGACGGCATCGCCATCCCCCTTTCTATTGTATCAGGCGGGGCCAATCCCTATCAATGCCAAGAACAGCAGCAGAAACAGAACAGCGGCGCCAAGCCAGGAGCCCTGTCAGAGGACGATCTCCCCGTGATTATTAAACAGGAGCCGCTGGACGACTACCTGCCATCCGTGGAGAAGCGTCCTCGCCTCAGCGCCACCGAAAAGGGGTCAACTCACCCGCTCACACATGCACAGTCGGAGAGCACAGCCTATATGGCCGCTGATCAGCTGATCCCGCCCGGCGGCAGCCTTCTTCGCAAGCGCAACGTACCACAACAGGCTTCGCGTTGCAAGAATGTATCATCGCCTGTGGCCGAGACCAAGCCTGCACCCAAATACCTTTGCCCCGACACGCCCCCTCACAGCATTCCCGACGAGAGTGCGCCGGGCAAGGCACCCATGTTCCGCCACAATGTGGATCTGAGGGCCTGCGTCATGGGTAGCAACAACATCTCGCTGACCAGCGAAGGCGACATCAGTTGCATTGACCAGATCAGCCGGGAGCTGCAGAACGCCGGCAAGAATCTGTTATCGTTCTTCCCGGTGCCGGAAATCAACGATGTCATGGACGTACTCAGCCAGGATTCTCAGCAGCAGTCCCAGCAATCCCTACAGTCGCTGAAGATACAGCAGTCGCTGGAGGTGGCTGCAAATCCGAAAAACCGCAAGGTATCGCCGCCCAATAGCGGCTCCGACTACGACTCTGATGACGAAACCTACCGCAACATGCACAAGAGCACGATGCTCATGCGGCACATCAGCGATCACAGTTACACACGCTGCAACGAGCTGGACGACAGACACGCCCCGGAGACTCCTTCAGATTCTGGTAAGTGTTGTTCCCCCCTCCTTCATCTCCTTACCATGCCATTCTCCTAGCTCTAGCTGTAGAGGTTTTTGCATTCAACTAGTGTGGCTACCCTTCAATTTGTGTGTGTGTGTGTGTGTGTGTGCGTGTGTGTTTGGATGTGGGTGGATGTAAGGAACGATGACGCCCAAGTTGGAAGTAAAAAATCGATCGCCAACGCCTACGTCAACAGCAAACATAGTAGACTCCGTTAGGCGTTACGCGCGTTACACACCCACGCGCGCCCCGTCACTGACAGTGGCAGTGGCAGCGGCAGCGGCAGAGAAGCTAGCGTCTGTCTGGGGCAGTTTTCATTGATTTTCGCTCTACCCCCACCGTTTGCTTCCGCTTGTGCTTTTAGCTGTTTTCTCCTTCTTCCCCAACCCAACCACAATTCTCACCCACCTCCCCATTGCGGCGCCAGTCATGGCGTCATCCTCTCTCTTTACATATTTTGTTTTTTGGAGCATCATCCCCCTCTTCCCAGCCATGTCTTGCGCAGTGCTACGCCCAAAAAGAAAAGAAGAAAAAACGTGGAAGAGAGATTCTCTCGCTCTCTCTCTCTCTCTCTCTCTCTCGGGGCGCAACACCCCATTCGGTTGGGGGCCGCTGTTCAAGGATGTCTGCGACCATGCCACGTGGCAGACGTCGCTCTCCACTGCCTCTCACCAGCGTGCTGTAGTCGCAGCGCTGCTCTGGGTTCAATGGCTCCCAGCTTTGGCGCGCAAAATTCATTGAGCAACCCTCGCGCGCACACTTACGTCAATATTTTACTACATGCCACTCTACGCTTTACGCTACTCTACGTTTACGCTACGCTACAACTACAACTAGCACGCTGACTGCGCTTTGCTGATGCTGACAGCAGACGCTGACATACCATCCCCCCTCCCCCCCCACACACACACACACATAACTAAAAGAGCGAAAGAGAGAGAGAGAGAGAGAGAGAAAAGGCTGCGCTTGCTGAATCTTCACTTGTTGTGACGTCGTCGTGTGTGTGTCTTTGTGCAGTCGTCGCCGAGTGCACTCACACCTAAAGGCAGTGGTATAAGCACTCGGCACTGCAGGCCAGGCACCGCACGTTTCGCATTTAGCGTTGTTATTATTTTCTTGTTGTTTTTGCTCTCTGTCTGCTGCTTATCTTCCCATCTATTTTGCCTATACTTTTGGGTGTTGTCTGTTACCAGGCGCTGCTCTCAATTTCTATTTGTATTCATCTGTGTGTGTGGGTGTGTGTATGTAGTGTGCGAAAACGCCTACACAGGCGGCATTAATCGGCAACAGCTTTGGTACATATGTACATACATATTTATGTTCATATTGTATGTACATATGTATGTATTTGCTATATTCATGGAAATAATGGATCAGAAATTGATCTTTTGCTTCTATGCGGAAAATATTAAGGTGGCTGCCGCCTGCTGTTTGTTAACTTACTCTGATCAGCAGCAGAGGAGGAAGAGGGCGTGTCACGTGAGAGTTGAGTTCTGAAAGCCGTTGGCAACAGTCGCCGCTGCCACCGCCCCGTCGTACTCAACATACGCACAATCGCAACTATAGATAAAGTGTGCGTGTTTGCTTTTTCTTTTTTTTTTTTGGCATTTTTCGCACCTTGCCCTATGCGTGTGGCCTGTGTGTGTGTTTCGATTCGTTTCGAAAAATGTTAATGAACGGAACCAAGGTCGCAGCCAACGCTGCCGAAAAATAGTGCGTAGAAAACGAAATGAAACGAAAAAAAAAAGAATTATTTTTTATGGAGAGGCAAAAAACCTGAAGTTGCTCATAAAAATGGTGTTGGGCGGGGGAGTTTGGGCCAGCTTTTGTCATTTCATTTCCCCGTTGGCTCCTCTTTTCTGGTTTTCACTTTCGCTTTTTCCCTCCCCGCTCCGCGCGCATACATTGATGCCGCACAAGAGCCCAGCCGCCCACCCCACCCCACCACATACCATTCCAAATTCCCAACAAGAAAAAACGTTTGCTGTTGCTAGGCGCGACTTTTTGCCTCTGTGTGCGTGCGTGTGTCGTCTTATCTCGCTCTCGCTCTGTCTTTCTTTTTATATTACGTCGTTGTGTTGTTGGTTTTATTCGCACACGTGTAGCCATAAATTGTTATGCTCAAGGTCGCAAGCAAAAAGCCCATGAAGAGAGCGCGAGAGCACTTTGCTCTGCTCTCCCCTGTCACGCACTTAGTGGTTTTTTTTCTGTTTTTTTTTTGGCAATGCCAGCGTCGCTGCTGGCGCTCGCCAACGAGCCTCCCTTTTGGGGTCGTTTATGAGAGATTTCCTGCCTAGCTATTTATCTGTTTTATGTACATATGTACGTACATATCCACGCCCAAAAATGTTGCAAAAATAAAATGTTGCCAGACGCATTTTCATAATTTAGGTTTGGTCTTACATTATGGATGTCGCAATGCGGCTCAGGGCGCCATCCGTCATTTGGGGTGGTCTGTTGCTAGGCTGTGGAAGGGGTGGAAATGGAAGCGGCAAGGAAAAATCTCACTCAATGTGATGAGTCATATCCTACAGGATGGAAAACTGTTGGAAAAACACTGGTCCAGACCTGCACTTGGACTCCACTCGAGCGCAGCCAAAGAAAGCTGTGCACGAAAGATGGAAACGAAAGACAAGAAGTCGCGCGTTGTTGCGCGTGGGAAAAACTGCGAGTAGAGCAGCATCAGCAACGGAAACGATTGCTATTGCTGTCCTTGTCTGTCTGACAATCTTACTGCAATTGTGGAAAACCGCAATCACTGCTTATGCACTGCCCCATTCCCATCCCCACCTTCCTTCTTCTTTCTCTTTCATTTTTTTTCTCGGCTTCGATCAGCAATGTCTGCGGGCGGCTGGCTGAGAGAGCGACATGTTGCCGACACATGTTGCTAGTGCCAAGAGGGGCGTCTTCTTTTGACCTTTTTGCAAAAACAAAGTGCAAAATGTGTCGTAGATGTTTTTGCAACAATTTTAAATGTAAATGTCGACAGAGTTTAGCAGTCACTGAAGAATCGCGTGGGAAAGTGCCAAAGCCTGCGAACAGGAAATAGCAGAGTACATATGAATGTACTTCTAAGAATTCCAACGAATGAAATGAAATCATTTTCTTGCTAGCTGCTGCTGATGATCTAAAATCGAAAGAATTTAGGCCCCTAGTGAGAATGAGAGCTTTCTACTGCCAGACAGTCTGCGGGATAGAGAGATAGAGAGAGAACTGTGTCATAAAAACCGCAGACGAAGCAAAAGCAAAAGGAAAATAAACAATAAAGTAGTGGAAAATGGCAACAACATTTGTTATTAAACAATTTGCAAGATGCCAAAGTAGACAAAAAAAAAGGCGGAGGGTTAGAGGAGTTGAGGGAGGACCACACCAGAGCGTTCTCATGCTCCCGAGTGTATTTTATTTGATGAATTATGACACCGCCGCGTCGTAGTGAAGCAAGGAAAAATTCCAATTGCCAATTTAGTTGTACAGAGTACTAGCGCCCCCTTGTCATCGACTTGTCCACTCAAGAAATCTGTCTGAAGAGCAATGTTCGCTACAAGAGATTCATAAATAAATTGAAATATAAATACGGTTTTGAAAAAGGTTTACCGGTAAAGCATCAGTAGAATTATCCACCTATTCCGGAATTTCCAAAGATTCTAATTTGTGTCTAAGTTGTGTCACATGTGCCCACTGTGCGCCGCCGTAGCTTCTCGAACTATCGTCATCGCTGCTGTGGGCTTTTATGGGCTTTTTAAATAAAATTCTTGTATACATTACATCATTTACCATTTCATTTTTCGTCGTTGCCGTTGTTGTTGGCCACCGCCCCAAGCGCTCTCTGGGGGAGGATTTGGATGTGGAAATGTGACAGGGCAAGATTGGGAGATTAATCTTGGAGAAGGGGCTTCTCCCGTCTGCTCTCATCTGCTGCATTTTTTGTTGTTTTCTTTTGTTCTTAGTTCTTTTTATTGATGATGCACTTGTCCCTTTTTTCGGGCCACCCTTTTGCGATGTCTGTCGGCTTGCTCGCCCGTTCGGTCTCCTTCTTCCACTCCTTGCTTCCATCCTCTCTGGCATGCTAATTGGATAGGGCAAAATGTGTCGTCGTGTGTGCTTATCACTAAACCCCTGCCACTGCCCAGTCCCTGCAGCTGCCGCCGCACCACACCCTTCGCAAAAATGTTGCGCAACATGCGTTGTGGTTGGGGCAGGGGTTGGAGGGGGTGTGTGTGCATTTTATTTGCAATTGTAATCAAAAACAGCAACGAGGCAGCTTCCTCTTTGTCCAGTCGTCTCTCTCTATGTCTTCCCTTTCTCTTTGATATTAGCTTGCCTAGCAACAAAAGTTGCCAAGCTTTGTGCCGGATCTCAGCAGAGCAACACACGCAGCTTTTGTTTGGTTTTCTGCTTCTTACAGCAAACGGGTTATTCTGGTTTGAAAGAGCGTCTGAAGGAAAGAGACAGGTATAGGTAGGCAGCAGCGGCGTGGTGAAGCTGTGATGTAGCGCGGCGGGGCGACAGGGTAAACCGTTAGTAAACTAAGGCAAAAGCTCTCCTCTTGATCAACCCTGTTTTGAATGCAGTTCTCTGGCAAGGGGGATAGGGAGGGCGAGACTGCATTGTTGATTGTTTGTCTTTTATTATTATTTTGATATCAGCAGCAGTAGAACTGCAATGAACCCATTCATTGTTTATCTCTGCCTCCGCGTCTCTCTCCATCTCTCTCTATTTTGCTCTTAAAGCTGTTGTTCGTTCGTGTTCGTCATCGATTTTCATTAGAATTTTTTATTGTTGCCAAATGCAAAAGTTGTTTCGCTGTTTTTGTGCCGGACATTGTTGTCCAGCATTCCAAAGCTCAAGTCCAGTCCAATCCAGACTACCAGAAGCATCTTCTCTCCCGCTGATGCCTTTCCCTCCATTCTCCATTCTCCTTTCTGTTCTTTATCTTTCTACCCTTTCCAGTCTTGCTCAGTCTTATTGAAAAATGGCCGACGAGTCAGCGCATTCCAGCATTTGTCGGTTATGACGGGGGCAGGGGTGGGTGGTCATCTTGGTGGTCTGTGGCTTGTCTAGCCATGGAGTGGAATGTGGAATGGACCGATGACGTTGGCAAAAAGGGAATACAAGAGAAAACGACAACACAAACAAGACGCGTCTCTTTTCTATATCCAGTTCTCATCATTCTCGCTCTTGTTGTATCCTTTGTAAGCACAAGGGCATGAATATTCTTGCCAGGTGCAAGCGATCTCTGCCAAAAGGGGCCTTAATCATTAAGCTGTCTGGCTGAACTGGTGCATGGTGCTGCGGCTACTCATTGATAAAAGAGTATCAAAAGCTTCGGCCTGGCAGCTAGTCGTTGCTTCCTTGAGTCATGCACCCAGTCAGGTATCTTTTGGCTGCCTGCCTCTTCTGCTTCTGGTCCTGCTGCTAGTTAAGTCCTCTTCCGCGCTCTTCACCTCTTTCTCGCTCTCTTTCTGCACAGGTTTTGATTTCGTTGCGGTTTTAACCTCGAATGCACTTGATCTTGCCACAGCTTGTCGTCAGCCCTTGCACTTTCTTGCTCCCTCCCTCCCTCCCTCCCCCCGCCGTGCCAACATTCCTCCTGTTGCCAGGTCAAACATTTTCTTGCGCTCTTTTTTTTCTCTCTCTGAGTGTGTGTGTGTGTGTGTGTGCACAGTTGTTTTTCATTTTTATTATTATTATTGAACAAAAAAAAGCAAAAATATGGCAAATATTGAAACAGTTTGCGCAGCTCCTAGACAATTTTTAAACAAATAGAATATATTCAAATGGAAAAATCGATCTAAACAATTTATAAAGAAATAAAGCTTGCCAGAAAAAACTGAATGCATTTTGAGAATGATAAAAGTTATCCATCCCCCCCGTAGTACTCTTGCTTGCTGCTGCTGCTGCTGCATCGTTTTGGCGTAGGTTCAATGTACAATAAAAGCAACGGAAACTGTAAATTAGCAAAACGGAAGAGCGAGAGTAGTGAGAGTAGGAGGAACGGCTGCCCTGCCCTGCCCTGCCCTGCCCTGCCCTGCCATGCCCTGCCCTCCCGCCACTTTCTTAATGGCTGTTGCTGGGCATAATGTAATCGCAGCAGAAAGGAAAAAGAAAAGAAAGACTAGCAGAACCAGAGACAAAATAACCGTAAGAAGGCAGGCCAGGCGGACAAAAATAACAGCTATGAGTGTGACGTCAGCATGGCGAGAAGGGCGTCGCCACTTGAAATCCGTGCAAATCTATTACTTCCTGAATTTCGATATACCACTGACTGACATACTAATCCGCTTTAGAAACCCTCCTTTGTCCCCTGAGCCATAACCACCCCCGCGGGGTCATTCAACTTGAAGAAGAAAAACATTTGCAGGGCTTTGGGTAAATGACAAATAAAAGGGGAATATGTAAAAATAGAACGGTTAAAATACGTAGCTGAATGATATAATGTCATAGATAGATCTGTTCTAACAATATTACTTTACTTTTATCTTTTGCAGATGAGGAAATCGATGTTGTGTCGTTCCCAGACAAGAAGCAACTGCAATTTCCCGTCGGTGAGCTGGCCCTGCTGGAGAAGGTGGCCCATCAAATCTCGAATGGAATCAACCAAAAGAAACAGCGTTACGGCAACTACATCATGCCTTATACGCCTGCGAGCAGTAGTCCGGTGAAGTCGGTGGCCAATTCGCGATATCCTTCGCCCTCGAGCACGCCCTACCAAGCCTCTTCGCAATCGTACTCGCCCCTGACCGTCGACTCGTCGAATAACAGCAGCAGCAGCAGCAGCTCAAGCAGCTCCAGCTCCAGCTCCGGCTATGGATGCGGCGTGGCCACCAAGGGACACAAGCGCTACTACCTCAAGGTCAATGGCAGTGGCAACGGTAACACAAGCGCCGCCAGCAACTTCAACGGCATGTCCATGCACAAGATGGCCAACAACAACAACAACAGCAACAACAGCAGCAGCAGCAGCAACAGCAGTAGTAGTAGAATCATCAGCAAAAAGTGTCGCAGCAAAAAGTCCACCCTATCCACGAGCTGCTCCCCAGAGCTGGAATCGCCGGTGAGCAGCACTGAGGCTGATGCCTCCAACAACTGGATGAACGATATGAACAGGATACCCAAGCAAAATTCTACCTCTACCGTGGGCACTCTTGCTCGCAGCAGTCAGCGCTTTAGCGTGGACGAGGCCGACACCATTGAGAAGCGCAACCAGCATAACGACATGGAGCGCCAGCGCCGCATTGGCCTCAAGAACCTGTTCGAAGCCCTCAAGAAGCAGATACCCACCATTCGTGACAAGGAGCGCGCCCCCAAGGTGAACATTCTGCGCGAGGCTGCCAAGCTCTGCGAGCAGCTGACCCACGAGGAGCACGACCTGGAAATGGAGTACCAGCGGCTCAAGGAAAAGAATCGCAAGCGTCAGGAGCTATTGGCGCGCCTGCGCTCCGCCTCCACAGTCCACACAGTAACGGATGAGAGCCGTAAGTGGGTGGGTCAGAGACCTAAATAAACCCAACAACAATTGAGTTTCAGTTAGGTGATGATGCGGCGGCGTATTTTTTATAGGGCAGCAGGCGTAACGATATAACGAATATGATCTATGATATACTAGCGTAAGGCCTTCAAACGTTCGATACGGTTTACCATATTACTATTCTATTCTATTCTATTCTATTTTTTTTTTGCTCTTGACCTTAAGCATTTTTATGAAACTTCAATATCTGTTGGTAGGATACGAACTAAGGAATAGGTTAAGCGGCCATTGTATATATTTTGGGCCTTGCTATTCACTTTCAAGCCAATCCCCAAGTTTGCTGCTTGCCGCTAGGAAGGGGCTGATTTGGAGGTGAACAACGAAGTTTGATTTCTTTAATGTGATATATATAATTTTCTGAATCAGATTCGATTTCGGTGTCTTAGGGAGCCGAATCAAGGAGAAGACCCAGGAACAGAGAAAGGAAAAACTACACAAATTAACGAGAACTGTTTTATGTTTTATTGAAGTTTCATTTAGGTACACAAATATAAGCTATAGCCTATGTTAAGATTAAAGCTAGGTTTAGATTATTACACCTTTTTTTTTTGTTTGATTTAGCTACTTAACTGAACATGAAGTGAACAGACCCGGAAACGGAAGAGAACCGGGAATGAAGACCTAACAACAAAATTAAGCAAACGAAAAGAAAAGAAAGGGAAGGGAAACTCAAAGAAGGGAAGAACGAAAGGGAAAGGGAAACAATAACGGGAGAACGGAAAACAGACAAAAGTTACAACGAAAGAGCCACAAAGAAAAAGAGAAGGAGGAGACCAAGAGAGTGCGTTATGAAATTAGGAGGAGAGTACAGATGCAGATGCAGATTCAGATTGAGATCCATTAATGGGATCTCAGATCCATCTATGGGATCGTAAGAGCGATCGTCAGGATATAGGATAAAGCTGAAAGTAAAACTTTTAAGGCTAATAAGGCTTCCATCAGTAAAGCCAGCGATGATTTCATTCTGAAGTATCCTATCCCGGTATCCTCGACCTTGACACAGACACATGCAAGGGGAAACTTAATTCAAATCTTGTTGTCGATAGTCGATAGTCGATAGAGTTACAACTTTACCAGAATATAAATTTAGCATATAATATGCATATATTGGATATCCCTTTTTATATGCTCTTCAATTGGTATACGGATCTATACTACACACACGCATATAATTATATTTATAAAGAGACGCATCCATTGAGAAGATTAGACGGCGCAACACACACAGCTAACCCATATGGGGAAACTTGAATGCTTTTGCTTAGAAACACTTTCCCAGAACCACCAGACCAGAGGAAACGCTTTTTATACACACCCAAGAAATACTTGAACGCTACTGCCTATAGAAAGAAAATACATTTCATTTGCTATGAAGATTCGCATATGATACATATACATATATTTAGACAGCCGGAACACTTTTACAATGGCAGATGCAACACTATGATTTTCTTGTTGTTTCTTTCATCAAAATATATATATATATATATTTTTTCGCTATATGTAGGATATTTGTATTTAGGATATTCTTTTTTTTTTAACCGGAATGCACGAAACTTAACGAAAACAAATAGAGGGAAGAATTATGAAAACTATTTAATAGTTCTAGCAACCCTAGAGAAAGAAGAGGGAAGAGAAAGAGAGCGGAGCCCCCGCAGATAATACCCAAACCCAGACCTAGCCCAAGAGAACTCAAACTTTTGTGAGCTGTTTAACTGTCGATTTTTGCTAATAAGTTATAGCCGGGAAATATGTTATGTATGATTAGCGATTAAACCAATTGTGTACACGCATATATATTATACAAACATATACATATATATCAACTATATAACCACTATATACAAATATCCATATGTGTATATACCACTAAACGATGGGAGACGTATAAATGAAGTTAAAAACGCAAGCGAACGCAAACTATAAACCCCAACTAAAAGGAAAAGTAAACTGTTATTTAGGTTTAGACACAAAACAAACACTACGGAATAATACAAAAAAAAGAGTTACAAATTATGACCAGAACTATATATACCCTATAGGCTAGGGCGTGAGCAACAGTGAGAGCGAAAGAGATAGGGAGGGAGCTATGTACGGATCGCGACGAGGGCAGGCAAAAATGTCTATAATTTAGAATGAAGTTTCAACGAAATTTAAGCATAGACCTCTACCCTACATATAACCATGCCTGAAAGTTGATATATTATTTTTTTTTTTTGTATAAGTTTTCTGATTATAATGGAGACACTATTACATTTTTTCTTTGATTGTTCTACGCCGCCGCAAAGGTTTTTTATTTTAAATTACTAAATATTACTTCAAGGTTTAGCGCTATTTTCTATTTTATAATTCAACTAAACTACAACAAGAAACACTGTTAATCGAAAAACTATACCAGGGGTATGGATTGCCCCTGGAGAAAAAAGAAACAAACTATTGAACTTGGTATATTTTTTTTTTGGGTATTGTTTTCACCAATGTGTACACACTGTATATAGAAATCTCGTTAAATAATAGTTACACACACACACACACACACAGACACACATAAACTGAAAAAAAGAAACAAAACTGAAAATATGCAAAGTAGAAACAGAGAGAAATATTTTTGTAAGAGCCGGAGAGAAAACACAAAGCAATAGACTTAAGCGAAATTGTACAACGCGAAAAACGAAACAAAGCAAAACCAACTTCAATAAACCAACAAAAATACACTATACCTAAACCACACACAAAATACACACGAATGCACCTAATTTCCTATAGTACATACAAGCAGAAATAGTTTAAACAAATTCTGTTTTCTTTCCACTTCTATGATTTCGGCGAAACGGAGAGAAGCAGAAAACAAAACCGTACAAATTTATCAAGCAATCAAAAATAATAAGAAAAATGTAATGACAAAAAGAACACACTTTCTTTGTTTATTGTAATTAATTTATTGTTTGCTTAAAGAAACCAACCGCAAAAAAAAAAACCACAACAGACAAAAGTGAAGCATTTCTTCTAACTATTTAAATCTGAAAATTTCGATTTAAACGAAAGAAACACAAAAAGTAAAACATGAAAAACTATTACCAAAACCAAAATCCTCGCAAATAAAACAAGAAAAGATGAAACATTTTTTTGCTTATACAATACTTTAAAAATTGAAAACAATTTTATGTTTATATATAAATATATATATATATTTTTTTATGTTTACGGAATTTTTTTATATGTATACACACACACAAACTACTATTTGATTTAGTTGTTAAACATTATTATTAAACAAAGCAAAAAAAAAATTAAAAAATGTAAAAACTTGTAAAAAAAAAAAGGGAAAAATTCTTTGAAACAAAGCAAAAAAAAAAGAGAAAAATGCTAACAAACTGAAAGAAAATGTTTGAATAGGGGGAGAAGCCAACCTACAGACGAGAATGAAAGAAATATTACACTTATATACAATTAAACGTTAATTTTTTTTTTGTAATTTTTTAAAAATTATTTTCAAAGAAACATTTGAATGAAATTGACCACAACCTTTTGGTTCACTTTGGTTATAGCTTATTAAATATATAACTGCAAGCGGAATCAGCTAAAATTACATATAAATATATTATCTAATATTTTTAACTCGTTATGTAGTTACCTATTAATGAAAAAAACCCATTGAATGCGAAGAAAATGAGAAAGCAAAAACAATAAATACATTTTATGTACCTCTTACATCTACGAACTATACATAAATACAATATATAAACAACACACACACACACAAACACACAGAAACAAACTTATATATACACAAAAACACAACTATATATAGAGAAATCAACCGTTTAAATAATTTTTTTTCTTCAAAATTTATGATTATCGCATTATACAATAAAAATATTTCAACATACCAAGAAAAACCGTAAATTTTTAATTTGTTTTTGTTTTGTTTTTAATTTAATTTTGGTTTTCAAACATTTCAGATTAGACATTTAATGGATTCAGGCACATGTTTAATACAAGTCCATGCTTTAGTTATGATTATTATAACACAAATTTTCCCCTTAAGTTTGCAGTTTGCAGGGAAAGAAAGATAAACGCAGAGACAGAGAGAGAGAGAGAGAGAGGGAGAGTGAAATATGATTCAAGTGATTCATTCACAATGATTCATATGTTGGCGCGGGTGGGTGGAACGCGGGAAATTGCTTTTGTCGCCGTTTCTAATCAAGCGGGGCATCACTCTTTTGATTCAGCGGGGTGTTACCAATTAAGTTAATTCAATAAAATTGTGTTGTTGCTTGCCAGCGCGACATTTCATTAAATCAACAGACATATGCAGACATTCATACATATGCACATTAATACATACATATGTAGATGGAAGAAGCAGCAGCAGAAAAGCCGGCCGGTAGAGACGAACAAAACCACAACAAAATAATAATAATAAAATAAAAATTGTATTTTTTTGTGATGTTTTTTGTTGTACTACTATTACTTTACTACAATCATTCAGTTTCGGCTTCGTTGATTTTATTTGAATTTTTTTTTCGTTTGCAACAAAAGAAAACAAACGTTAAAAGGGAAACGTGGAGGCGAGTTGACCGATGGGTATAATGCTCTACCTTAAAGTATCTATTTATGAAAATGTACACAACATTTGTACATATTTTGGGACCAATTGGATGATGGACTTTCAAATATTTGTTTTGTAAAGTATTTATTGTGTGCTTTAATGACAGAACGGGCATGCCCTGCCCCCAGAAAAGGGTACACAGATAAGAAGCCGGCAAGCGCACACATGCACAGACGAGTAAACACACACACACACACACACACGCAGTCGCATGAAAAGACACAATCACGGGCGGCAGACGGGCAGAGACAGCAAAATTGGCGTGCACAAAAAGCACACACACAAAAAAAAAAGGCAGCATTTGTTTTTGTACACTCTGACCGCGGTCGGTCGCTTTATTGGGTGAAGGTCATGCCAGACTGCGCCGCTGCTGCTGCTGCTGCTGCTGCGCTTGTGACTGCTGTTGCGTCTGTCTACTTTTGTTTATCTAAGTTTCTACTCAATATTTGTGTTACTTTTATTTTGGTTGTTGGCTTGTGTTTATTGCCATTCTTATTGTAGCTTTTCGTAACCTTTTGCTTTCAGCGTGCTTTCGGCTTTTTGGGGCCGGCCCAGTCAAGAATTTATTTGTTTGCCTTTAGCTTTGGCTTTGCTGTGGCACGATGCACAGGGGCAGGCAACTGCATATAAATATGATTATTAAATCGATATAAATACATTAGATTTAAGTTCCCATGCTGTACATGCGTCCTTCCTGACGGTCACTTCAATTAACAGTTCATTCACACCTGGCCACAGTGTGCCTCGATCACTTCATCTAATGTCACAGTTCAGACATGCACTAAATCACCATCACCATCACCATTTCATCCATGACATCCATACTCTTGTGGACGCAATTAACTTTTTGGACTCGCATTTCTCAGCTGGTTTGAGTAAGTTTTTGCAGTTATTTTGTGTTCCTTTTGTGGCGAAATTCATAAATTCAACGCCTCTGCCAAGAGCGCAATCCCCCCCTTCCATGTGCTCTGTCTGCACATGTGAGGCGCGTGTGTGTAAAGATATTTCAGTCACTGTTTAGC